TAATTATTTGTAGTTTTTATAAAATTATACATAGTGATTGGTAAGAACAATTTAATTTATCTCCTGGCCATTTTGAAACATGAATGTATATAGGACAGCTGTGTAGTCACAGAACCTAGGATAACTCGGTAGTAGGTTTTTCTTTTACCTGGTTTTATTGGTTTGTTGTTTGTAGTTATCTTGAGTGTATGCAAATATAATCTAATATACCATGGTACTGTATCTAAATATATAACAGACTGTGACTTCTCAGTGTCATGATTAAATAGTAAGCATGTTATACCGCCTTTATCTTGTCCGTAACCAGTAATAAAACGATGTACATGAATTTGTGGTGGATGATTAACATCTGAAAAAAAAAAAGATAAATAAAACATTTTATTATTCAGATAAAAACAGCAATACTTTCTACAGTTGTCAACACACTTACACTATAATATCAATGTTCCACAAAGAATTCCTATTGGGATGGAAAGATATATAAAGTTAATTCAACTATACTGTATCAGGAGAACAAATGTACATTCATTTGCAGCAAGTGAAAGTCACATTTCTATGAATTGACAGTGTAATGTTATTGAATCCATCTAAAATAGTCTTGATAAACCTACTATTACAGTCAAACCTGTGTTAACGACCACCTGTGCAGAGCGGCCACCTGCTAATAGCGACCACCTTAGTACACGTTAAAGACACTGGATATAGCGACCACCCTATTGTAGACCTATTCACACTTTAACCTTTGTATAACGACCACCAACATGTCCATCAGACGGTCTCAGCAAAAAGACAATAGCTACTTGTGAATTGCTAACAGAAAAGTGGCCATAAGTTACGTTCAGATTACCGAGTACGCAATCTTTAGGGCTAATAGACAGGGGTGACAATTGCAACTTGAATTGTGAAGTTGCGAAAAAGTTGAATATCATCTGAATGTAACGTCTAAAGACTGGAAAGATTTTAACAACAAATTAAAACAGTTTTATTCAAAGTTGAAAATGAAAAACTAGCTTGTTTCCGATCGGTACTACCCCCGGTATACTATCGATCCCCAGCCGGCCAGCGGCACTTCTGTGGACTGTCTCGCACATGAAGAGCAAATTCCTCCCGTCTCGAAAACAAGAAAAATGAACCAGTTTAATTAAATGAGAGATGTTTTATTTAGCTTGTCGACATGAAATACCCGAACAAAATAATAAAACATTCGTTTATTTCGTTCTCATCGCGGAATTGCAAAATCCGACCTATTTTGACCGCCATGTTGTTTGTTGTTGATCGTTATAAATTATGCTAATGAAGCCACAGCTAGCGCATGGGCAAAACGTATTGTTACTGAGGGGTCATCTCGGGGTTATTCTCAACGAAAAATGTTTTCTATGTTGATCCTCTTTTTTTATAAACGGTAATATCAATAATTCGCAATCGAGGAAATTCGTTTCGTTTGGGCAGTTTTGACACGTCGATGCTTACAACAAATTACTGTAAAATTGCGAGTACGATCATCGTGTTTCATTTCCGGTTCGTTTGACTTTCTGATTCAACACCGAGAGTTGGAGCAATCGTTACGAGTTTGGTAAATTTTGTTTATTACCAATGCTTCTTCATTTTTAATGCTTGTTTGTTTGTTTTTTCAAACACGGCAACTTTGCCTGTGCATTTTATCACAGTGTACCATCGACAATACTAACGATGCGACTGATTACCGCCTGTGATGGAATATGACTGGGGAATAAGACTGCATGGCGAGAGTGTGAAAGACAGAGCTAAAACGCCAATGTGGCCGATCGTTGACAATCGTTCTTATGCATTAAATACACCAATGAGTCCATGGGCAGAATCACTTGGTTCCAGTGAATTTACATGATATAATTTGTAGTAAAAAAGTAAAGCTGTGTAATTATCCAGATGAAAATGAGTGACTTATTAAAAAAGACCTATTCATTGTAGGTTTGTTTTTATGTTTTGCTTATGATCTCCCTTAAAATTCCCGCCCTAATTAATATTCATGATTAAATGAATAAATTAGGCCACCTCCATATAAAGACCACCTGTCTATAAAGGACAGTTCGGCTCAGTCCACTGACTGTCCTTTATAGACAGGTTTGACTATATTAGTTAGCCTTTATCAATCTCTGGGGCAGCTAAAGGTTACTTACCATAGCAGTGTTTATTCTTCCATTTCATTGCTAACATGAGTTGATTTGAGCTATCCCAATTATTCAGATCATACACACCATACGTACTTGTTCCACCACCTCTAGTCACAACCCTCGTATCAGTTGGCTCAGGAGTCAGCTGGACCAAATTGGAAGTCTACAACAACAATATGACTGACATATTTAACACAAGTCATCGTCATTGACATAGTCCCTGTCATGTTTTTAGTGACTTTGTCAAACAATGAAAAGCATAGTCAGATATATGTTTAAATATTGGGATAGTATTTAGCTTATTACCAC